TCAGAGAAATAAAACATGATCTGTTAGCACTGATGCTGCTATGTGGAGGCAGTTTGAGCAACAAAATGATCAGTGCAAGTCATAAAGGGGTAGATTCTTGGGGGTGTGGGTGTGACTCTTTTGAGCTCCCAACATGGAAAAAGCCTAAATATGCAGTATCATACTCAAACATGCTCAAACACAGGTATGTGTTAACAAAACTGGACACTCGCAACAGTTGGTTTAGCATAATACATGCCTTTAAAGACTCTTTGTTAACTTCTATTCCATCCTAGGGCTATGACTTTCTGTCTTGTTATGACAGTTCCATGTAATTATTTTGAGTTATCACAACATTTGCAAAAGTGAAAGAAAACCCATCAATAGCTTAAACCAACCGGGTTTTAAAGGTATAATACTTTAAGTCCGGCAGCTGCTGTTGACATCTAAGTGGAAGACATCTTTTTTGGGGATGTTTTGACGAAGATTACCCCAGGCTGAATTAGGATTATCCCCCATCTTTGTTATCCCAATATCCCTCTAAGCTTCTCAGTGCTTTTTCTTACTGTGAAATTACTAAACAACAAACAAACAAAAGCCTGCTGAAAATGGCTTTAAGTGCGCATTGGCTAGAGACGACTACACCAGCGTCTTATAGAGACTGAATGGGTCTCCAAGGAAACTTAGTGTTGTTGTTCTTCGGGGTGCGCAGAGGGGGGAGTTTGGGGGGGTGGAAAGTTCACATGGACAGCGTCGACAAAGGTAGAAACAACACATCCATCCGAGCAGTATAGGGACTGAGCAAGACAATGGAGAGGCAGTAATTTGGAGCTATGGGTGTTGCGGGTGTTAGCGGCGGAATGCTAATCGTTAGACAGGGGAGGGGCTATGGTTTCAGGGGTTGAGGGAGATGGTAAATAGAAAAAACAGAATCCCCAGAGGAAAACAAGATAGAGAAGAAATAATGGGCTTACAGTATCGTGCCGTAGTATTGTTGGTTTAATCAGTTGTTGTTTGTTCGTACATAACCCTTGAGTCATAATAATATTGGGTTAGATTTATAATGCACTTAGATAAAATTACATTAGTTTATTCACTCCCCAGCCACCCCAGTGGTCCACTGATACTTCTGATGGCATAAATGCCCTGGGGCATACTGACAAAGTCATGACTGCCATTTTGTGCCACCAGGACAACAAACTTTTTTTTTTTTTTTTGGTATTAAACCATTTCAATAAACTAACCACCCCAATACCCCCCACATCTCAGTATCAATATGTCTTTATATTATCTTATTTTAATACTAGTTTCAGTATAGATTAGAATCCAGGAATCATTACTACATCTATCTGGTATTTGAACAAAGACAACATAAAAGTTTAATCTGGGACATGCTTTACAATTACAGGATGATTTATAGTCCTAAACCCCTGAAATGAAGAGTGGTTTGTGCATCAGACTTGCCTGGAGGTACGTGTCCACCAATGCTAATTTATTTTACCTTTGCACCAATCACGGTGAAGGTCAGCCGTGGACTGAGGGTGCTGGTTTGGGTCAGCTTGTGTTTTCCTATTAGCTCCTATCTAATTGTTTGGACATTAGTGTCACTGTTCATTTACACAGACTTCCCATTGTTCTACGAATGTTTGTGGACTTCTACCCCTGTTAGCTAACCATACACTGTGGCTAAAGTATTGATTCCCAGGGATCTCTTCTTGCCTCCAGGTGAGCTAGCTGCGGCCAGTCTGTCCAATTACTCACACAAATAAAAGAATGGGAATTCCGTGGACACACACTTCTAAAGGTTATGCGGATACCCCGCCCCTGTTATGGTTTGAAAGCGGACCTCAGTACTTTCCCCAAGGCAGTTTGTGGAATGTTTTCGCAGTAGTAAACGGGGGCACACAGGAGACTCCCCTGTGCTTTCATCACTGTCAGGGATGGTTCTTCTGTTCCGCATCCAAAACAAACCTCGAAGATCTTGAGTAGTTCAAAGTGAATCAGCATGGGAGATGATGTCCATTGACTGTTATTGGACTACTGAATCATAATGGACAGTTGATGCTTTGGGGGTTGCTAAGGGAATCGTAGTGCTAATAAAGTGAACTATAGCATTCAAAAGATAGGGACCTGTAACGTCAATCAGACTCAACAAAAAACTAGCCAGTATAGCAAAATCTAAATTATCGAGAATCAATTAACAATTTATTTAAATTATGAGAAGCTTCAACATGCAGCTTCTCATCATCCCTGAAACTCGTAAGTAGTGTTGTCATAATACTAAAATTTCAAACTCAATTGATCTAATACCATGAGGATGACAAAGTATCACTATCTGCTCAGTTGAGTATCTAGTTTCAATACTAGTTTTATCATCAATTAGTATCTGATGTTTTATACTTTTAACAACTACTCTTAAATCAGTCAATTTATTGAAAGAACATACAAGTCTGATCAGAGACAAAATAGCTGGTTTAGCCTTTTCATTTGACAGTACATTAGCTACCTACAAGTTAAAGGCTACATATATTTGTTCATTTGCATTTTTGTTTGACAAACTATCCACTTTTGGAACCCAGACAGACCAATGTGGGTATTACTTAAATAATTCTAAAAAATAAATACATAGTTTCCAAAAGTAAAAAAAAAAAAAAAAAAATGCATAGCTTTATATTTTTAGTTTGTAAACTTTTTAAAAATGTAGTATGTTACTTTCCATGCCAGGCTACATGCACAATATGTAAACATGTCACTTCAGGAGTAGTAAAAAAAATGGGCCACCTCCAATACCAGACATGTTTTTCATTCTTCTATGCTAATGCTGGGAATGACAGACTGGGGAGATGCTGGCTTGATGGGAAAGAAAAGTTGAATTCCAAAACAGGATGTGCAGAGACCCCTTCGGATTGTTCCCAAAATATCCCGACACAATCTGCCGTCTTTGTGAGAACCAGATAACGGGACTCACCAGGGAGCAGTGAGTCAGTCAAAATAAAGGGCAGCATTCATAACGTGCATGTGCGCTCCACGGAGGACACTAGCATGGGTTGTGTGCAGACGTGGAGAATTAGGGATGCTCATACAATGGGCTAATATGGGCCTTATGTTTAGACTGGGAGAATTCAGGTTTTAATTAAGTTATAGAGCTAACTGAAAGATGGGAATATGAGGTACTGGGTTTGTGTTTGGTAGTGTTTAGAGATGTCATGATTTAGTTTGAATTTTAAAGGTGCACTGTGTAACTTTTTTGTGGGGTCCCAGTCCCTTGTTTGTTGCCATGATCATTGCCAAGTTGTTATTGCTTTGACTACTTTCCACAGTATGACGTTAAACTTAGGGGTGTCAAATTATCGCGTTAATTGGGATTAATTAATTACAGTCATATTTAGCGCGTTATGTTTTTTAATCGCGTTAATCTAATTTTTAATCTCTAACTTTATTGTTTCTGTATGCGAGTTGCTTTATTATAAAGTCTGTTTTTATGTGTTGTTGGGACAACAACACAAAAAAAAAAAAAAACACATTTATAATTTTTTTTTATTTCGGTAATTCCACTCATTGCCGGAAACCCACACAAAACGTGCGCAGTAAGAGCGATGTAAACGTCATGTTCACGTTGGCGGCGTCAGTCGCACAATGGATGAGGTCGAAGAGCCAGTAGAACAGAGTCAGCAGTGCACAGGTAAAAACGCATTCATGTCTTGGAAATTATTCTCCCGACGTGAAATATAAAAGAAAAAAATAACAAATATAAAATCATCTACAACTTAAATGTCACTGGTGAAAACAATCTGCATAGGTTCATGATGTCTGCACTACTGTCCTATAGTGACCTGCCACATGAGGGGACACGCACACAAACACACACAAACACACACACACGTTCATCATCGTCATTAACCTGAGAACGCGCAGACCACGTTTCTGTCCGTAGTTACTGCGTGGACACCGACGTGCTCCCGTGAGCCGCGTACGTTTTCTCGCGTACGCTGCGTAAACCGCGCTTCCTCCTGTGCGCCTCTAAACTAGAACTAATACCAAGACTAAAACAGGGACTAACCCAGTCCAGGACTAAATCAGGTCTAAACCAGGACTAAACCAGGACTATACCAGGTCTAAACCAGGTCTAAACCAGATCTAAACCAGGTCTAACCAAGGTCTAAAACCAGGACTAAACCAGAACTAAAACCAGAACTAAAACCAGGTCTAAACCAGGTCTAAACCAGGACTAAACCAGAACTAACACCAGGACTAAAACCAGGACTAACCCATTCCAGGACTAAACTAGGACTAAAGTAGGACTAAAGCAGGTCTAAACCAGGACTAAAATCAGTGATCTCATATATAAAGCATTTCTCTATCAATAATATTTTTAATATGGTTAAGGAAAGACTGGACTTTTTATTGTCTTTAAGTAGACAAAAGTTATTATGTTCAGATTTCCTCGTCTTTGCTACTTTACAGCAAACAGTTTCTTATTCATGGAGACTTGGGCTCAACAGCCAATTTGAAGAGATTTGTTAAACAATAAATGACTTTATAAAGTCACTTTTTTTTTGTTCTATATCAGTCTTTTGATCTGTCACAATAATGTAATAATGAATTTAAATGAAACTACCTCAAATTGAAGGCTTTTCTCAGCAATTTTTAGGTGAGATTAAAAAGAGATTAATTAGATTAATTAATTACAGATCATAATTAATTAATCTCTCAATTTTTTTAATCACATGACAGCACTAGTTAAACTTACCTATCATGCATTATTACTGTATGAGTGGGGTCATCTCATCACAGATCTGACTGAGACAGATTCGACTAATACCATAAAGCATTAAGTGCTTTGAGTGCCTTGAAGAAAAGCGTTATAAAACAATGAGACCATTTACTGTGGAACAAACAATCTAGGCAAAGCATTAATATATCCATGGAGACAAGGAAATGATCAACCTACCATCACTCTTAATCATAAGATGTTTGAAGATGAGACAATAAGATAATATTGTTTTTACGTATAGGGCTCATGACATGTTTTTCAGGACACTATAAAGGTCTACCAAACAGCCCGTGTTTTAGTATTGGAGAGCGTTGACAACACAAGGTTGGATTTTAGTTGGGCCAATTTCAGGGAATCCAGCCAAACAGAGCTTTAAAGAAAAAAATAGGGCAAAGAGTGAACCACCAACCAGGAAGACTACAGTACAATAGCGCCGAGGTGTCATGTGACAGAATGAGACACCCAAACTGGGAAGCACTTCAGCTGCTGCAGCGTGGGCCTTCTTGTTGTCATATAATAGTCACTGCCTAAAACATCCTCTTATCAAGATAATTTAATTTAATTTGAAACATTAAGAGGCACACTATACTCTAGAAATGACCCATTCTACTGTTGAGCTGCACACAATAGGAGCATATGTGTTATAACTGGGGCAGACCAGTTGCCAACAACCACCTGGGATTACATCACAACAAAACCCCCCTTTTGCTTGTTCCCTAAACAGAAAATGTTATCATCTAGCTTGGGTGTTACTGCAGTTGAAGCCTCCAACCGTCACCTTTTCACCCATCTTCCCTCAATGTAGCCTCTGAGTCAACAGACAACCACAGAAACTAGGCTATCTCCCACACTGATCTCAAAATCCACACAGGAAAGTGCGTATTGCTGTAACCATCTGACTGCCGTTCTTCATAACAAAGCCAGCTGATGTAATATTGCTCTGCCGTTTAACTTTAACTACCCAGAAGGTGAATGATTATGATAAAGTTGCATTGTACATGGTTGCCGCTCACGTAGCCCACCTATGTGTGTGTTTGTCTAAAAAGGGGTCAACACAGAGCAACAAAGTGCGCCCATCAGAGGAAGCAAAGCAGCACAGAACATTCAAGGGAGATATATTTAAGTGTGTGTGTCTGTGTAAGATTGTTGAATGGTAAGAATTGGGCCGATGAGCAGCTTTCTAGAGCGCGCCCTCCATTTGGAACCCCCTCACTGCTGACTGACTCCCATCTGCTGGTGGTCGGGCCCTGGTTCACCCTCCATGTCAGCATGGTAGTGCTCAAAACTGTCGTCATCTATGTCTGGGAGACCTAAGAGCTGGTGGAGACATAGAAAATAAGTTAGTGTTATCAAATAATAATTTACTGCCCAGGATAATATTTAACATGGGTTCAGAAAATCGTATTAAGTAATCTGTTTTTTGTTTGTTTGTCTTTTTGTCTTAACCCTCAGTACCAATTTTGCTCCCATTGTTTTTTCTGTCCTATCATATTAGTCCGTCGAGTATGTGTTAAAAGTTATGGCTGTGCAGATGAAAATTTTCACTTTATACTCGATAATTAACCTTTGTTATCTCTTTACTGTTTTTTTATTTTTGCATAATTATTTTATTTGGAAGAGAAATTAACAGTATTTGAGTGCCTTTTCCACATTATAATAAATAGGTTAAACATTAATCAGCTACCAGTACCCCAGTATACACACAAGTCTATAGCAAATGCCTAACTGATTATATTGGATCAGAGCATCCTGCAGCCCCTGCCTAGGAGGACATTGTGTATCTGTGATGACATGATACTAGACATATAGCAGAGGTCACCGTTATGTTTCTGGTTTAATCACCTAATTTGAGTGTGTGAGAATGGCTGATATTTTGTCTTACTTACAGGCCTAAATGACATGAAGACCTTCTCCAGCACCTCAGGCAGGGTCTTCTTCCCACAGGATGAGATGTAGTCCTGCGCCATCTGCAGGAAGGGCAGACAGTCCTCGCTCTCACTCCACACATGCTGCAGGGAGACACGTACAAGGTAAATAGAGAATCCACTTCTAAAACGTGTTTGGACTTTCTCTATATGGATCTGTCACACATTAAAAAGATGCATTATTTTACTTTTTGATTGAGCACCCACCACCTGCTTGTCTCCATGAAGATGTAATTGTTTTTTGCCTGAAATATTTCACAGTTTGGTATAAAATTTCAGGTGGCACCACCAAGCCAAGTTGCAGATCTTTTTTGGATGTATGTTTTAGAAACAAAACCTAGATGTAAAGCCATACTGTGGGAAATTCTATGCAATAACATGTCCTTGGAGTCAAGCAGATGGCAGACCCCACCAGAAAAGTTATTTACTCATTCTTACCATCATAATACCATGATATAATAATAATAATAATAATAATAATAATAATAATAATAATAATAATAATAATTAATATGGTAATCTAACTAAAGGATGCCAAGGCAATGAAGTTGNGCTTGTGGGCTGAGTCTGAGACAGAATCTTACAGCTAACCATAAGAAGGTTTCGAATAGGGTGCAGGAACTGTAACTAGATTACTGACACATGCATAGGTGACATCTAAAACCTCTTCAGGCATGCTTTGGATGAGAGAACAATGTTATGACATGGTAGAAACCTTCAAAGTTGGTTTAGCTTAATACCCCCTCTTTAAACATTCAATCAGTGTATAGGGTTCAACTTCGTGTTAATGCAGCATTTGAAATACTTCCAATTCAAAAGGTATATTTTGTTCATAATTATTAATTACAATGTCAGCGTATGGCCCATTTTTTTTTATAATTCTCAAACCCATGAATAGATAGTGTGTCATTTGTTAGACACCCAAAGGTTTGTGGTTCAACTTCAGCCCTATCTGTGGCATAGTGTAGGATTGAATCCTGGAGCAAGACACTTCATACCACTTACCATTCCTCTCTGTTTTTCTGTCTTTGATTTGTGGTGTTAAGACAGGCGAATTTGGCACAGAAAGGCTGCCACATGTTAGATGTTTGTGTAATCCCTCAGTTGTCTTCAATCAAAAAAACTTTTATCCAGTTGACAGACTTGAATTTCTTTTTTGCTATGCCTTATGTTAGCCAAATGCCAGGGTCAGAGGTGCTCTGGCTATAGTAGTACCTTAACACCATCAGAGTTATTTGAGCGAATGAACAGTCAACCAATGTAAAAAGCTTTGTGAGGTACAATATACTATGCTGGTTATGATGAAAGATCCTAGCAAGTGTTGGCAATATGTTACAGTGGACTCTATTGCTCTAGGCTTATGTTACATGATATTTGACTTTGTTTAATGCAAAATTATAATGTAAACAATCTTTTCTTCTTCTTCTTCTCAGCTCCTGAGTAATGTAACTTTAGCATCTTTCACAGATTTTCTATGTGGCCTTCAGTACAATACTAGTAGAAACTGCACACAAAGGAACAGCCCTGACAGTAGAAAGAAGCTGTTGTTAGGGTGCCATGGTAACGGGACCCATGCGCTCATGTATACCCCCCTCTTCACCTCCCCTCGCCCCCCTGTGTGTCCCGGCCCAGACAGATCCCATACAGCACGACAGAGAGAGAGAGAGAGAAAGCTAGAAGTGGGATTTCAAAGATAATCTCTCCAGCAGATGGCAAAACATCGCGTATTCCTTTTGAAATGCACCACGTGAGGCAGGGGGCGGGTCTCGTAGTGGTGGGAGGGGTGTGTGTGGGGGGGTGCATACAGTGTTCAATTAGGAACGGGTCATGTGATACACATATGCTAATTAGAGCCAGGCACTGTAAAAACTGTTCATTTCAATGCCAAGAGACACTTTCAAAATGGAAAATGTGTTCATATTGGGAAAGAAACATTGTGTGACTGGTAAATTAGATTTTTTTTTTTTATAGTCTGATACAATTTGAAAGATTATGAAGCCATTGTTAACATTAGACTGAATAAATGGTTTTGTCTTCACATTAAGATAAGAGTGCATTTATTTATTACAATATGGAAATTACTGTGTTGCAATGCAAAGTTCAAGAATAGCAGGTGATTAGAAAATATTTGATCAAATTTAAGAAAAATAAGAATTAAAAGGCTTGATAATAGACTTAAATCTAACACAACATTGTGCCAGAGTACAGACCTGATGAAGATATAAGACTACAAACTATGTACAGTAAGTGGTTATGACTACGTCACAATTATTTAGGCCTATAATTGCACGTGATTTAGGTTGTTTATTGGTGGACTAAAGTATAGATCAATCCGTATGGGTAACTGGCAATACTGATTTATTTATTTATTTTATTTTTTTTTTTTTTTTTTGAATGGTCCAAGCTCTGACTTTAGGACCAATATGCTGAGCTGATTTTGGTAATTTTCCCCAAATGATCTAATTTGAATTTAGTACAAATTCACCCACAACATTATTTTACAAACTGGTTAAGAGAGCAGTGTAGTCACATTTTTGCAAGTATTCAATAAAGCTTTATGCATGTATTTTTCTTTTGTGCATATTAGGTACTTGGGTCCTTTGTTGGAGATTTAAGGCCAATAGCCAATCCACAAATATTGGCTCTATATATCGGTCTAGCTAAAATTTCACAGCATACAATTTTGGCTTTGCTCTGCTTTTTAATGAAGACAAAAAAAAAAAAAAAAAAAAATTGGTACTTCAGCACTATGAACTGGCTTTTGTCTGGCATCTAAAACAATGAGCTAATGCCTACTCCTCCTCCAATACTGAGTGAGGTAATGACAACTGCGCCTCCAGCTGATGCGCCTCCTGTTTTTATGGGGAAAAAATAACAGCATAACGTCACATTAAAATGCAGTGACCTGGTTAAGCCCCCGCGAACTGACTGAGGGAAGCGAAGACGCACGAAGGAGGAGGAGGAGGAGAAGACGAGGAGACTAGGAGGGGGCGTGTGAGTGTACCGCGAGGACAGACAAAGCACGCTCCCACTCCATCGCGCGCGCAGCCAGAGAAAGTGCAAAGCGGTGCAGCATGGGAACCCTCTCCAGCAGTGCCCACACGCACAGCGCATAAACGGACCGTGGACTATACTACGTACTTTTACTCCCACAATATCTTTGCTTTTTGTTTTGCTTTCACTTTTTCCTTGGGTCGCGTGAAAGCCCGTGATCGCCAGGCTGGACGGGACGGTCAGGACCCCCACCTTACGCCCTCCTCCGTCACCTCATCCCCCTTTTACGCACTGTCGGACCGATGCGCTTACTCCCACGGACACACACCACCGACTACGCCGACCACGCATACAGTGGAGCGCACGATGGTGGTCCAAGGAGCAGTGACTCCCGGGAGGACGCGCCGGCTCATGCTCAAACTGCCGGTGGGAACTCTCCGGAGGAACAGCGGAGAGAGGGTAAGTAAGCGAAGACAATACATTCACGGGGAAATTAGGCTAATCCAGGTTACTGTATTAGTTACCTGGGAGCGAGTTGCAAAGCTTTTAATCTCTGGGTAGTATTGGAGGCTACTTTTCTGTGCGCTACGGGGCTGTCAAGTCATGCGCCGTGTGCCAAAGAGCGCATTCCATTCCCATCCACTCGTGTTCACAAGGTTACCAGGAAGTGCGACTGTGGGAGAGCTGTCTTTGGAGTGCCGCTTGTCATTGTTAGAGCCAGTCTGGTGACACTGGGGCAAGCTTTGGTGTGGCTAATCCAGATGGATTAGTTTTATGTGGTAGAAGAGTTGTGTCTGCTGGGTAAACTCTGGTGAAAGATGTGGTACACTGGATATCTTATTATGGTAACAATTTCTTTTTTAATCTTGGAATAAATAGAATGAGAAAAAGTTTATATTGGATTTTTTTCTTTCAATAGTCCATCCAGTTTGCTATTGCCATTTATTACAATTCGAAATGTTGATGGCTTTGGGCTTTTTAGGAATTACAAACGAAATGAATAAATAAATAAATAAGTCTTTCTACCGAATTTAAAAATATGATAAATTAGCGTCATGGGCTGGTTATCTTATAGTACTTGGGGTGTTATTTTTGATCCGACACATGTTTTATTCAACTGCTTTATTGATGTTGATGCTGCCCATGAGGTCACTTGTAAACATGATGTAATGATTTATCTAAAAGCAGCTGGGGGTCATCTTACCCCGTGGAGTAGCAGTTGCTTGGTAACAGTGATGCTTTGATGTACATGGTCCTAACAACACTCGAGCTGAAGTGAATACACATGTTAAATGAGCTATGTTTAATGCTATATATCATTTATCTATCAATTTATCTATCTATTGATCGATGGATCTATCTAACAATCTATCCATCTAAAAAAAAAAAACTGTTAACATGGAAATCCACCGAAGACATGCATCAGCCAAAACTATGTAAAGAAAAAAAAAATAACAAAAGAAAACAAAAGTGAAACAACCCATTTTAAATACATCTGTCATGCTATAGTTACACAAAACATTGGAATGAATGCAAAGTTTGTATTTAGCATCTTAAAATCTGCATTGGTTTGACATTAGGCTCACTGAAAATCCCATGGGGGTGACAACACAATCCTGAGCTCTGTAGTTATCCACATCACAGGTTGTACTTTTAACTCAATTATTTTTATGTTCTTGTTTTCATCTTACAAAATTTGACAATAGGGTTTTTGGGTTGTTAACATTTACTACCTTTACATCTATTATAGGGAGTTCACCTGGAATGTGTTTTTGTACAAGTTCATCTTAAAGTGACAACACGCTGCAACCTGCCGCTCCGATTCACCTCTCTGTCCCCACACCTCTGCCGTTTACGCCACTAGAACAGAGAGCATTTGAAAAGCATGCATACAGCTGCAGGTATACTGTAATTGGTTCCTATTGTGTGGTTCCCCCTTTGCCATTCACCGCCAGCTCGCTTTTATGTCGCACATTCTTTGGCATGACGTGAATCAGCCTTTCCCGGACTTACAGGTTTCACAAAACACGATGCAATGTTGTTGTTGAGAGAGTGTCTTTGTACTTATTAACCGATACACATGAATTATTTAAGATTACTGTAATTTCTTTAGAACACATGAGTGAACCTTGTCTTGAGTTATAGGTTTGACAAAACTGATATGATGCTATCCCTGTACAGTAAGAGGGAGTTGACTCTTTTTGTCATTTTTGATTAGCCACAGAACCGCTAATGAACATGGTAAGTCCAAAATGATAAACATATAGAGGGATATTTATCTGGTCACCTTACCTGACCAAACGTGATCATCCAGTTAAATTTGTTTATTTCAGTGATGCATGTGAAACAAAGGAGCTCATTGGTCACCCATTATTTAGAAACAAAATGACATTTCTCTCACCTCAGATTAACAGAATCTAGTGCTTTGCTCATTGATTCTGCAGAACATTGTAATGTATTTCAGTCCCCTGTGATTTGTTTATTTGTTTTGATAGTAAGTTAAAAGGTAAAATCTCCAGTCTTTGCTTTCTTTTCACAAAATGTGTGATACTGATACTGTGTTATTTTCCCCTTCAGTACAATAGTTTTTAGAATGTTTCCTCCATATCTGGCTAGCCACGCACATGAGTTTTAAAGTAATCTTTGTTAATTCCATGTATGTATTCCACATTCTTTGGCATG